GCGGTTTCACTCTTGTTGCTGGGGCTGGAGTGCAATGGTGCAATCTCAGCTCACTGCAACCTCTATCTCCTGGGTTTAAGCGATTCTCCTGCCTCAGCCTCCAGAGTAGCTGGGATTACAGGAATGTGCCACCACGCCTAATTTTTGTATTTTTGGTAGAGACAGGGTTTCACCATGTTGGCCAGGCTGTTCTCGAACTCCTGACCTCAGGTGATTCACCACCTCGGAGTCCCAAAGTGCTGGGATTACAGGCATGAGCCACTGCGCCCAGCCTAGACCAGCAGCTTCTAACAGCCTACTATCAATAGGAGCAAAAGTATGACTTGAAATTGGAACTTATATTTAAAAGGGAAAGAGTGACCAGCCTGGCCAACATGGGAAACCCCATCTCTACTAAAAAAATACAAAATTAGCTGGGCGTGGTGGCATGTTCCTGTAATCCCAGCTACTCAGGAGGCTGAGGCATAAGAATCGCTTTAAACCAGGAAGTGGAGGTTGTAGCGAGCCAAGATCATGCCACTGTACTCCAGCCTGGGCAACCACAGAGTAAGACTCCATCTCAAAAAGAAAAGAGAGAAGGAGAGCATAAAAGTTTGAAAAATTTGCAGCCTGTCCTTGTGGTAGAGAAAGAATCCAAGCAGGCTGTGGAGCACCCAATTGCTAGAGAGAGCAGCATGACTGAAAGGGAGCCAAATGCTAATATCTAAGACAATGGGGAAAAGGCCTCAAAGGCATTTCAGAGATCTTCTAGGCAGCCCCCTAACAGGTTCAGAGGCCTATGAGAAGAAAATGGTTTTGGTGACCAGGCCCAGGGCCTTGCTGCCCTGTACAGCCTTGGGACACTGCTCCCCACGTCCCAGCTGCTCCAGAAGTCATGGCTCAAAGGGCCCCAGGTACAGCTTGGGCCACCACTCCAGAGGGTATAAGCTGTACGTCTTGGTAGCTTCCACATGACATTAAGTCTGCAGGTGCACAGAATTCAACAGTGAAGGAGGCTTGGCAGTTCTCACCTAGATTCCAGAAGATGTACAAAGAAGGCTGGGTGCCCAGGCAGAAGCCTGCCACAGAGAAACTCTACTAGGGTAGTGCTGAAGGGAAATGTGAAGTTGGAGGCCCACACAGAGTACCCCACCATGGCACTGCCTAGTGGAGCTGTAGGAAGGGAGCTACTGCCCTTCAGACTTGAGAATGGTAGCGCCACCAGCAGCTTGCAACCTCAGCACTAAAAAGCTGCAAGCACTCAACTCCAACCCACGAGAATAGCCATGGGGCCTGCACCCTGCAAAGCCACAGCGGTGGAGCTGTCCAAGACCTTGGGGACCCACCCCTTGAACCAGGGTGCCTTGGATGCAGGACATGGAGCCAAGGATTATGCTAGAGTTTTCATTCCTGCCCCGACTTGCATGGGGTCTACTGCCCCTTTCTTTTGCCTGTTTCCTTTTGAAATGGAAATGTATATCCAATGCCTGTGCCACCATTGAATCTTGGACGTAAATAACTTGTTTTTGGCCAGATGCAGTGGCTCATGCCTATAATCCCAGCAATTTGGGAATCCGAGGTGGGCGGGTCACGAAGTCAGGAGTTTGAGACCAGCCTGGCCAACATGGTAAAACCCTGTCTCTACTAAAAATAAAAAATTAGCCAAGCGTGGTGGCATGTGCCTGTAATCCCAGCTACTTAGAAGGCTGAGGCAGGAGAATTGCTTGAACCTGGTAGGCGGAGGTTGCAGTGAGCCAAGATTGTGCCACTGCACTCCAGCCTGGGATACAGAGCAAGACTCTGTCTCAAAAAACAAACAAATTTGTTTTTGATTTCATAGGCTCATAAGTGGAAGGAACTCATCTCCAAATGAGACTCTGGACTTGGGACTTTTAAGTTAATGGTGGAATGAGTTAAGACTCTGGGGGACTACTGATTGGGAAGGGATGATTGTATTTTGCAATGTGAGAAGCACATGACATTTGGGGGGCCAGGACAGAGTGATATGGTTTTGATGTTTGTCCTCTCCAAATCTCATGTACACATGTAATCCCCAATGTTGGAGGTGGGACCTGGTGGCAGGTATTAAGATCATGGGGATAGATCCCTCATGAATGTCTTCGTGCAGTCCTCACAGTAATAAACGAGTTCTCACTCTATGTTCATGCGAGATCTGGTTGTTTATTTATTTATTTATTTATTTATTATTTTTTAAGACGGGGTTTCACCATGTTGGCCAGAGTGGTCTCGATCTCCCGACCTGGTGATCCACCCGCCTCGGCCTCCCAAAGTGCTGGGATTACAGGCGTGAGCCACTGAGCCCGGCCAATCTGGTTGTTTAAAAGAGCATGGCACCTCCTGCCAACTTGTTCCCGTCCTTGCCATGTGACATGCTGGATCCCGGTCACCATCCACTATGACTGTAAGCTTCCCAAGGCCTTTGCAAGCACCATGCTTCCTGTAAAGCCTGTAGAACTGTGAGCCAATTAAACCTCTTTTCTTTATAAATTACCCTGTCTAGGTATTTCATTCTAGTAATGTAAAAAAGGCCTAATACTCTGCTCCTGCCAGCCCCTTATTGGCAGTAAATGCCCTTTTGCCTTTCTCTGGCTTGCTGCACCACTCTATTTGGGGAAGCAGCCTCTACTACCCAAATAAAAGATCGGGCAGGAAGGGAAGGCTCTGACCTACTCACCTTCCTCTGAAACCAGCTATCTCAATCACGCTGGGCAGGAACCAGGAAAAGATACAACCCAACATATGGCCCTGATAACTTGGCCCACATGGCTTAGGGAAAAAGGGAGACAAAGGAAAAGAGCAAAGCAAAAGAAAGAAATAGCACTTCAAAGTTTCATGGCTCAAAGGGAAATTGTCTTTGCTTTGTTTTAAGCAGCATTTGAGACAGAGTTGGATCCTTAAAGATCAAAGACATGAACTAAAATATAGCTAGAAGCTGGACAGGACTGTTTAGTCCTTCCCAGAAACACACAAAGTGCCTGCCACCTCCTGCCAGAGGGGCTAGCTTCAAGGACCATCAGGAGCAGAAGCTGTCTTAGCCTGCTGGCAGAATTCCCATTAGATTAAAGCTTGCACATTTTTTCAGAAAAACTGCAGCCCAAATAATCAGCTTCCTGACTTTACGTGGCAGAGGCTGCCAAAAGCCAGTCTCCATTCCCTCAGTGCCTCAGCTGACCAACCAACAAACAACCCCAGCTGCCCTGCAGTCAGCAGTCAACAGCCACTCATCATGCCCTGTTCAGAGGGGCCAGGGCCTATGCCTAACACCACATGCCTTCACATCCTTGGCACACAGGCTTCCTGACACTAGGTAAGGATTTATGTTTGAAGCACATGTGCAAATGGGAGAGGTCAAAGGTCACTCAAGAAGCATTATTCTTGGTCACTGCAACAGGGCTCTGGTTCTACAACAGTCTATAGAGATGGGGAACCACTAAAGCACCTGTGCTTAAAACACAAATTGCTTGGGTTTTCCCACAGGAGAAGCCTCTCCTTTCTCCAGCAGCTAGCCCTAAACACCTTCCTATAGACTCTGCTCCACAGGTAAGATGGTGTTCATTAGTGGATGGCCCAGGAGCCTCTGTACAAACTCTAGCCTCGACTTGAGAATCTGAGTGGACTGTCTAAGGGGAGAGCAGCCAGAAGCTGACACCCACATTGGGCACCATTCCACCTCCAAGTGTCAATGACACAGAGAGCAGCCCCACAGAAGCCCAGGTTGCATAGTCCAATGAGGTCACAGCTGAGTCAGGGTTCAATGAGAATAAGCCCCCACTCTTCAAATACTGCATGACATTAAGTCTTTTCCAAAAGCATGGTGTTTTAAAGCTATCAAAAGGTGCACTTTTCTATCTTTCAGAAAGTCTTCATAAACTTGAAGACTACCATCCAACCAATCTGACAGAAACAAAGCAGACCCTGTAAATATACTAAAAAGAACTAAATTGTACTCTTTAAATGGGTGAATTGTATAGCACATTAAATTACAAGTTAATAACACTCAAGAAAGTAGGAATAAAAGGAAACTACCTCAACACAACAAAGGTCATATATGAAAAACCACTCTAGGCGCAGTGGCTTACACCTGTAATCCCAGCATTGTGATTGCTATGTAACCAGAGTAACTGAAGCCAGATTCCCTCGATTCCCACACCAGGAATCAAACCTGGGCCACCTGAGTGAAACCCAGGAGTCCTAACCACTAGGCCACCACAGAAGCAGGATTCCCAGCACTTTGGGAGGCCAAGGCAGGTGGATCGCTTGAAGTCAGGAGTTTGAGACCAGCAAGGCCAAGATGGTGAAACATCGTCTCTACTAAAAATACAAAAATTAGCCAGGTGTGGTGGCAGACACCTGCAATCCCAGCTACTTAGGAGGTTGAAGCAGGAGCATCACTTGAACTGGGGAGGCAGAGGTTGCAAGAGGACCAGATCGCACCACTGCACTCCAGCCTGGGCGTCAAAGCAAGACTCTGTCTCAAAAAGAAAAAAAAGAAAAAGAAAAACCCACAGCTAACATCATACTCAATCGTGGAAGACTGAAAGCCTTTCATCTAAGATGCCTGCTTTCACCACTTCTATACAAGACAGGACTGAAAGTTCTAGATGAAACAATTAGACAAGAAAAAGGAATGAAAGGGGGCTAGGTGTGGTGGCTCACACCTGTAATCCCAGCATTTTGGGAGGCCAAGGTGGGCAGATCACGAGGTCAGGAGTTCGAGACCAGCCTGAACAACATGGTGAAACCCCATCTCTACTAAAAATGCAAAAATTAGCTGGGCGTGGTGGCAGGTGCCTGTAATCCCAGCTACTGGGGAGGCTAAGGAAGGGGGATTGCTTGAACCAGGGAGGTGGAGGTTGCAGTGAGCAAGATCGCACCATTGCACTTCCAGCCTGGGCGACAGAGTGAGACTCCATCTCAAAAAAA